CATCGATCAGACGGGGGATGGAGAGATACAAAGTAACATTGTTTATAAACATCGATCAGACGGGGAGATGGAGAGATACAAAGTAACATTGTTTATAAACATCGATCAGACGGGGGGATGGAGAGATACAAAGTAACATTGTTTATAAACATCGATCAGACAGGACATGGAGAGATACAAAGTAACATTGTTTATAAACATCGATCAGACGGGAGATAGAGAGATACAAAGTAACATTGTTTATAAACATCGATCAGACGGGAGATAGAGAGATACAAAGTAACATTGTTTATAAACACCGATCAGACGGGGGATGGAGAGATACAAAGTAACATTGTTTATAAACATCGATCAGACGGGGGGATGGAGAGATACAAAGTAACATTGTTTATAAACATCGATCAGACAGGAGATAGAGATACAAAGTAACATTGTTTATAAACATCGATCAGACGGGAGATAGAGAGATACAAAGTAACATTGTTTATAAACACCGATCAGACGGGGGATGGAGAGATACAAAGTAACATTGTTTATAAACATCGATCAGCGGGAGATAGAGAGATACAAGATACAAAGTAACATTGTTTATAAACATCGATCAGACAGGGGACAGAGATACAAAGTAACATTGTTTATAAACATCGATCAGACGGGAGATAGAGAGATACAAAGTAACATTGTTTATAAACACCGATCAGACGGGAGATAGAAAGATACAAAGTAACATTGTTTATAAACATCGATCAGACAGGGGATAGAGATACAAAGTAACATTGTTTATAAACATCGATCAGACGGGAGATGGAGAGATACAAAGTATCGACTCTGTTCCATTCATCTGCAGATAAGGGGAACGTTCGATGTCACCTGACAATCAGGAATGAAAGCTCTGCAATGATGTCACAGTAGAAGGGAAGACGTGTTTTTGTATTTTTGGACGCATAAAAATGAAGATTTATATAAATGACCATAAGAAGGCGTGTTCGTCCTGTAGCACTGATCCCCGTATTACTCTGTAAGGGCCCCATCACACGGGACTGACCCGTTTAGTGGATCCCCTCGCTGGGGGGGGGGGGGGTGGAGGGGAATCTTTCCGCTGATCCCCGCTGAGCAAGTGGATGACAGGTCTGTGTCCGCTCCACTGCTGCAGAGCGGACACAGAGCAGCTCGCTCTCCTCAATGAAAACAAACCTCCTGGGGCCCGGGTTCTTTGGTGGGGGAGCTAAGTTCTTTGACGAGGAGCTAGGTTCTTTGGTGAGGGCCCGGGTTCCTTGGCAGGGGCCCAGGTTGTTTGGTGGGGGGCGGGTTCTTTGGCAGGGGGCTGGGTTCTTTGGCAAGGGCCCAGGTTCTTTGGCAGGGGCCCGGGTCCTTTGGCGAGGGGGCAGGTTCTTTGGCGATGGCCCTTGTTCTTTGGTGGGGGGCCAAGGTTCCTTGGCGGAGGAGCCTGGGTTCTTTGGCAGGGGGGCTGGGTTCCTTGATGGGGGCCCGGCTTCTTTGGTGGGGGGGGCCCAGGTTCCTTGGCAGGGGGGCCTGGGTTCTTTAGCAGGGGGGCTAAGTTGTTTGATGGGGGGGGTTCCTTGGCAGTGGCTGGGGTTCCTTGGCGGGGGGGCTGGGTTCTTTGACGGGGGGCTGGGTTCTTTGGTGAGGGCCCGAGTTCCTTGGCGTGGGCCCGGGTTCCTTGGCGGGGGCCCCCGGGTTCCTTGACTGTGCTTCCTTTCCCCTCGGCGGGTCATCAGCTGAATGGATTCCATGGGGAGTCACGGACTCGGTGCCCCCACCTCTCATCACACAACTTCGCTGGTGAATTTTTTGCTTCTGGAAAGTCGATGTCTCTGCCGGGAGACAGAACGTTTTTCCTCCCAGATACCTATAATATAGGCATGGCAGGTTCCAGCACATTTGTGCGCCGCGCTCCGCTCCAAACTCATCTATAAATAGGGGGGGGGGGGGGGGGGCAGTGCCAGGGAGTGAATGGCGCGGACAGACAGGCGCGCGGCAGCTATAAGAATGAATAACATGGCGGCTCTGAGTGATGCTGACAGTCGGTTGGTTTGCTCCGCCCGGGTCATGTTTGTGGAAAATTCTGCGTTTCACCTTTTTTGATTGGTTGCCATAAAACTCGGCTGTCAGTCTGTGGCTCAAATCAGGCGTGAAGCGCACGGCTCAGCGACACTAATGAACAGCGGTAATCTGTGCGCCGCACCACAAGTGTGCGGGAAACGTTCGAGGGACTTGGGACCACGTGAATGGGGAGTCAGGAGGATAGAATCCCGGACCGGTCCCAATACACAGCAACTGCATCCGTTCTCAGGAAAGCTCCGCCTCTTATCATCAGAAACCATCCCTGACCTCCATTCAGGTGACTCTGCCTAGGCTGAGATGATGTCATCAGTCTGCTGCACGCATGAGGAAGCATTTCCTCAGTCTCCTCCCCAGTGATCAGACTGTACATTGTAACTTTGTAGAAGGAGGAGGAAGCATTTCCTCAGTCTCCTCCCCCAGTGATCAGACTGTGCATTGTAACTTTGTAGAAGGAGGAGGAGGCATTTCCTCAGTCTCCCCTCCCCCAGTGATCAGACTGTATATTGTAACTTGGTAGAAGCAGGAGGAAGCATTTCCTCAGTCTCCCCTCCCCCAGTGATCAGACTGTATATTGTAACTTGGTAGAAGGAGGAGGAAGCATTTCCTCAGTCTCCTCTCCCCCAGTGATCAGACTGTGCATTGTAACTTTGTAGAAGGAGGAGGAGGCATTTCCTCAGTCTCTTCTGTACAAATAGCAGCCAGGGAAATGTCATTTAGGAATGGTGTCACTATGGCCTCTAAATGACAGATCCTGGCTGGATTCTGTTTGTAAGTTCACTGGCCAGGATCTGTCATTTAGCGGTGGTAGCACTACTGTCACTAAAGGACAGATCCTCAGTTGGCCTCTTTTTGTAAACAAGCCAGCGGGCATCCTGGATGATGTCATTGTATAAACATGGCTATGACTAGCTGGGATCTGTCATTTAGCAGTGGTAGCATTACTGTCACTAAATGACAGATCCTCAGGTGATGATGTCATTGACTAAACATGGCTATGACTAGCTGGGATCTGTCATTTAGCAGTGGTAGCATTACTGTCACAAAATGACAGATCCTCAGGTGATGATGTCATTGACTAAACATGGCTATGACTAGCTGGGATCTGTCATTTAGCAGTGGTAGCATTACTGTCACTAAATGACAGATCCTCAGGTGACGATGTCATTGACTAAACATGGCTATGACTAGCTGGGATCTGTCATTTAGCAGTGGTAGCATTACTGTCACTAAATGACAGATCCTCAGGTGACGATGTCATTGACTAAACATGGCTATGACTAGCTGGGATCTGTCATTTTGTGGTGGGTAGCACTACTGTCACTAAAGGACTGATCCTCAGTTTGCCTCTTTTTGTAAACAAGCCAGCAGGCATCCTGGATGATGTCATTTTACGAAAGATGGTTATGACCAGCTGGGATCTGTCATTTAGCAGTGGTAGCACTACTGTCACTAAATGACAGTTGGTGGGGACCCCGAGTGATGCCATTGACCAAATCTAGTTATGACCATATTTGGTCAATGATGTCACCCAGGATCCCTGCCGGCTAGTTTACACACAGAAGCCAGTGGGGATCTGTCATTCCATTTAGCAGTTGTAGTGGTACACACCAGAGGTAGGTTTGGGTGGGCAGACAGGCCCAGTATGGCCATTTTGTTCACCCATTCACCAAAACGCACACAGTGCTGGGTTTGGGTTCAATCTCATGCTGAAGTTCATCCCCAATTCATCACTGAGACCCTTCCGCTGTAAGTTCCTATCCACCTTGGAAACTTGTGTGTCCCCGCCCACCTTTGCATGCTTTGGCTCCTCCTTTTGCGTTTTTCATAATTTAAAATAAACGTCAGACTCTTGCTGAGATTTCCATTCGCAGGTTGTGAGCTACTGAACACATGCCATTGGCAGTCGGTCACATGGAATTCGGTCACATGACACGCGGTCAATTCAATTTCCCAATGTGCTGAGAATTGTTAGAGATACAAAGTACAAGGCGTCCCATCCAACCAATGGAATAAGCCGTCCTACGGGAGTGGGCGGAGACCTGCACTTATCACAGAATGTCATTTTTGTCAGAAAACGATTTGCTCTTGGGGGGGGGCATGAAGATGCCGCGACTCTCCGCAATGCCCCCCCCCCCGGCCCTTCACCCTCTTTGTGCGACTGACATTCGCACTCACACACCAACTACTCGAGCGGAATATTAAACTCTCGGCTCTTTTCTCAGCACTTCATCCTCCATCCTGCGTGACTCAATACCGTGGCCAGTCCTCTATTCTCCGGCCCAGCGGGGGGTTTGATAATTGGGGGTTACCTCATGTTTTTTTTACCCCCCCCCCTCCGCTCTCTTTTATGATGTTGTGCCGAGGTGGCTCGGCGAGGCCCCAGCAGACGGCGTGAATGCCATTCCCCATTCACAGGGCGGCACCCCGCCGGAGGATTTACATCACTGGGAGAATTTAGGATTCCCGCCTGAGTGTAAAAAAAAAAAAAAATAAAAATTAAATAATTAAAAAAAAAAAAAAAAGAAAAACATAAAAATAAAGAAAAATAAAATAAATTGCTGAAAAAAAACAATTCAATAGACAACATTTTTAATTCACTTTTTTGTGTCATATAATGTTCTCATCAATGGCAGCTCTGTGACATCACAGCACTGAGGCTCTTTATAAAACCTTGGGGGCTAAAGTGGAGTTTTCCTTTAAGCCCCCCCCCCCCCCCCCCCCCCAGTACAATCTGGCAGTACAGCTTGTCCACACTTTTTCCATTCCTTGTGCCACAGGCCTTCATGTCTCATCCAAAATGCGTAAATGCTCCACTCCAGTCTTGCACAGGTGTACTGGCTCCTCCCCTTCAGTCTTGCCCAGTGTTCCCGCTCCTCCTCTTCAGTCCTGCACAGGTGTACTGGCTCCTCCCCTTCAGTCTTGCACAGGTGTACTGGCTCCTCCCCTTTAGTCTTGCACAGGTGTACCGGCTCCTCCCCTTCAGTCTTGCACAGGTGTATCGGCTCCTCCCCTTCAGTCTTGCCCAGGTGTTCCCGCTCCTCCCCTTCAGTCCTGCACAGGTGTACTGGCTCCTCCCCTTCAGTCCTGCACAGGTGTACTGGCTCCTCCCCTTCAGTCCTGCACAGGTGTACTGGCTCCTCCCCTTCAGTCCTGCACAGGTGTACTGAACAGGCTCGGCTCCCCCTTCAGTCCTGCACAGGTGTACCGGCTCCTCCCCTTCAGTCTTGCACAGGTGTTCCCGCTCCTCCCCTTCAGTCTTGCACAGGTGTGCCGGCTCCTCCCTTCAGTCTTGAACAGGTGTGCCGGCTCCTCCCCTTCAGTCTTGCACAGGTGTTCCCGCTCCTCCCCTTCAGTCTTGCACAGGTGTTCCCGCTCCTCCCCTTCAGTCTTGCACAGGTGTACCAGCTCCTCCCCTTCAGTCTTGCACAGGTGTACCAGCTCCTCCCCTTCAGTCTTGCACAGGTGTACCAGCTCCTCCCCTTCAGTCTTGCACAGGTGTACCAGCTCCTCCCCTTCAGTCTTGCACAGGTGTACCAGCTCCTCCCCTTCAGTCTTGCACAGGTGTACCGGCTCCTCCCCTGGGCTGAAATGTCTTCCTCTGATGTCATGTGGGCTTTGCCTATGCAAACACAGTCCCCGACACTCACCCATCATTGTGGGTGTTACCTAGGGGTGGTCTGCATGCAAATTCTTATATTTGCATAACTCCTCCCACTGTTTGCATCAGGACTGAGGCCGGGGGCTGGGGATGTTCAATCATAGAAGCCATCAGGGGGGGGGGGGGTATTCTTTACTAAAACCTGAGCCGGGGGTGCAAAATCTGGTGCAGCTCTGCAGAGAAACCGATCAACTTCCAGGTTTTATTGTCAAAGCTGAATCTGAATTTAGAAGCTGATTGGCTGCCGTGCAGATTGCTCTAGTTTTACCTATGCACAGCACCCTGCTGACCCCTCCCACCAGCCATGATCTGCCTGCATTGCATAGACAAGCACAGAGACCCAGTGGCGATGTCACGAGGTCTAAAATAAGATCTGTAATGAAAATGGAAAGATTTTATTTTAAAAAGTCGTTAGAAAGAAGATGGGGGGGAGGGGCTTTAATGATTACGGAGCGTTCGGAAGGCTGGGGCGCGGTCTCAAGTCTCACTCACAGCGATGACTTCTTAGGAACAGTAAAAAGTTCCGAGGAGGAACCAGTCGGTTGGCAGGGACAGCAGTGTGACAGTTCACCATTGGCCGGGGAGGCGTGCTTGCTCTACAATGGACACACAGCAGGAACAGTTTATTGACCCCCCCCCTCGCTTGCCCCCGGAGGGCGCCAGAGAGCACCCCGCTGCGTCAGTGTCACCCCGTCCCTGATCCCCAGCGCTGGTCAGCCGGGTCTGTTGTGTTTGGCAGTCGGCGATGGCGGGGAGCCAGGGCCCAGACGCGGATGGGATTCCGGAAATCTGACTCAAGGCCGAGTACAGAGTGTAATGAAGAGGTCGCTCAGCGCCTCCAGCTCCAGTGTGTTCCCACAAGGTACGCCTTGTCAGCCAACATCCAACGCCATTTTCAAGGCGACTTTCACAAGCGTGATCGATACACGTAGTCAGGCTCCCCCCCCCCCCCCGCCATCCTGGGCAGTGAAATCAGCACCCTTGCTGAACAACTACTGAGATAAAACCAATTGCTGGATGAGTCGCTTAGAGATTTTATTCAGTTCAGTGAACGGTTTCTGCAAAAGAAAGTCTTATGGAGCAGGGGCAGACTGACAACTCATGGGGCCCCCGGGCAATAGGGGATCGTGGGGCCCCCGAGCAATAGGGGATCATGGGGCCCCCGTGTCCTTGCCCAAACTCAAAAAATGCCTATGAAAAAGGTACCAGGGGCATCTCATGGGGTCCCCTACTGACCCCGGGCCCTCAGGCAGTGCCCGAGTTTCCAAATGGTCAGTCCGCCCCTGTTACAGAGCTACCTTTGCATGCAGGGACTAGAGCTGTGTCTCCCTACGCTGTGTGCATCAATAGAAACACACAGCCCCATAGCTTAGGATGACAAGGCGCTCCCCTCCTCCTCCTCCCTCCTTTTAGCTAATGGACTGACTCCAGACTGCACTGTTCACTTTTTCCATGTGAAGACCAGAGGTTCAGGGAAGCAGCACCGAGAGAGCAGGACACAGAGAGTTGTAAACTGCAAGTTCTGGGGGGGTTTATTTTGCTCAACGTGTAAAAGTGAATGAATGCGCCCCAAAACGCACCAGTCGATGCACGTGTGCTAAATGGCTAAACAGCGCATGGTAACCTATTGCCAATGTAATGCGATACCATTTAGAAAAAGCTGAAGGCGCAAAAACGTGTGTGCGCGTCGTAGCGTCTGCGCAGAGTTTGGATCAGCGCCAGGAAACTGTTCAGTACCACAGAGGGCCGCCACAAAAAAAAAAAAATACGTTTTATAAATGAATGAAATTTAAATGACTGGACACGCCCCAAAAATGACATCACATTAGAAGACCCTCCCCCCTATGACATCAGACACGCCCCTTTCACATTACAGTTTCCTTTTTAGAACCTTTAGCTTACAACTTGTCACAGCCCCCTTACAAATCAGAGCCCCCCCCATACATTGGGGTCCCTATTAGAGCCCCTCCCCCCTTATATCAGGATCCCCATTAGAGCCACACCTTATACTATGGTCTGCATCAGAGCCTCCTTATATCAGGGTCCCCATCAGAGTCATCCTCACATCGGGGTCCTCATCACAGACCCCCTACTTACATCAGGGTCCCTATCAGAGCCCCCCCTTATATCAGGATCCCCATCAGAGTCCCTTTACAAAATTACAGAGCCCCCCTTTTGGATCCCCATTATCACCATTAGACCCCCTGCATCCCCCTTATATCAGGATCCCCATCAGAGTCACCCTCACATCGGGGTCCTCATCACAGACCCCCTTACATCAGGGTCCCCATCAGAGTCTCTTATTACATCAGGGTTCCTATCAGAGCCCCCCCCTTACCTCAGGATCCCCATCAGAGTCCCTTTACAAAATCTGGGTTCCTATCAGAGCCCCCCCTTATATCAGGATCCCCATTAGTCACCATTAGAGCAACCCCTTATATTATGGTCTGCATCAGATCCTCCTTATATCAGGGTCCCCATCAGAGTCACCCTCACATCGGGGTCCTCATCACAGACCCTCTTACATCAGGGTCCCTATCAGAGCCCCCCCTTACCTCAGGGTCCCCATCAGAGTCTCTTATTACATCTGGGTTCCTATCAGAGCCCCCCCTTATATCAGGATCCCCATCAGTCACCATTAGAGCAACCCCTTATATTATGGTCTGCATCAGAGCCCCCTTATATCAGAGTCCATTGTACTCCAATGGCCTCCACAGTCACCAGATCTCCATCCAATAGAGCACCTTTGGGATGAGGTGGAACGGGAGATTTGCATCATTGATGTGCAGTCGACAAATGCTATCATGTCAATATGGACCAAAAATCTCCGAGGAATGTTTCCAACACCTTGTTGAATCTATGCCACGAAGAATGAAGGTGAAAGGGGGTCCAACCCGGGACTAGCAAGGTGGGCCTAATAAAGTGACCAGTGAGTAATGATGGTAACATTTTATATATGCACTATATTGCCAAAAGTGTTGTCCCCGCCCTCCATATCATGTGATTCAGGTGCTCCAATCCCCTCCCAATCATGTGATTCAGGTGATTCATGTGATTCAGGTGCTCCAATCCCCTCCCAATCATGTGATTCAGGTGTTCCAATCCCCTCCCATATCATGTGATTCAGGTGTTCCAATCCCCTCCCAATCATGTGATTCAGGTGTTCCAATCCCCTCCATATCATGTGATTCAGGTGTTATAATCCCCTCCCAATCATGTGATTCAGGTGTTATAATCCCCTCCATAGCATGTGATTCAGGTGCTCCATATCATGTGATTCCAATCCCCTCCATGGACACAGGTGTATACAATCAAGCCCCTAGGCATGCAGACGGCTTCTACAAACATTGGTGAAAGAATGGGTCGCTCTCAGGAGCTCAGTGACTCCAAGCGTGGTCCCGTGATAGGTGGCCACCTGGGCAATAAGTCCATCCGGACATTTCCTGGCTACTAAATATTCCACGCTCAACTGTTAGTGGGATTATAACAAAGTGGAAGCAACTGGGAACAACAGCCACTCAGCCACCAAGTGGTAGGCCACGTCACATGACAGGGCGGGGTCAGCGCATGCTGAAGCGCACAGTGCGCAGAAGTCACCAACTGTCTGCAGAGTCAATAGCTAAAGACCTCCAAACTTGGTGTGGCCTTCAGATGAGCCCAACAACAGTGCATAGAGAGCTTCATGGAATGGGTTTCCATGGCCGAGCAGCTGCATCCAAGCCTTCCATCACCAAGTGCAATGCAAAGCGTCGGATGCCGTGGTGTAAAGCATGCCGCCACTGGACTCTAGAGCAGAGGAGACGTGTTCTCTGGAGTGACCAATCACGCTTCTCTGTCTGGCAATCCGATGGACGTGTCTGGGTTTGGCGGTTGTCAGGAGAACGGTACTTGCCTGACTGCATTGTGCCAAGTGTAAAGTTTGGTGGAGGGGGGATTATGGTGTGGGGATGTTTTTCAGGGGTTGGCTTGGCCCCCTAGTTCCAGTGAAGGGAACTCTTAGGGCGACATGTTGGATAGTTTCATGCTCCCAACTTTGTGGGAAGAGTTTGGGGATGGCCCCTTCCTGTTCCAACATGACTGCCACACCAGTGCACAAAGCAAGGTCCATAAAGACATGGAGGAGCCAGTTTGGGGTGGAGGAACTTGACTGTCCTGCACAGAGTCCTGACCTCAACCCCATAGAACACCTTTGGGATGAATTAGGGCGGAGACTGCGAGCCAGGCCCCTCCCCCGACATCAATGCCTGACCTGACAAATGTGCTTCTGGAAGAATGGTCCAACCTTCCCATAGACACCCTCCTAAACCTTGTGGACGGCCTTCCCAGAAGAGTTGAAGCTGTTATAGCTGCAAAGGGCGGGGCCAACTCAATATTGAACCCTACGGACTAAGACTGGGGGGGCCAATTAACAGGTCATGTGCGTGGAAAGGCATGGGGCCAACTCAATATTGAACCCTATGGACTAAGACTGGGGGGCCATTACAGATCATGTGCGTGGAAAGGGCGGGGCCAACTCAATATTGAACCCTATGGAGTAAGACTGGGGGGCCATTACAGATCATGTGCGTGGAAAGGGGTGGGGCCAACTCAATATTGAACCCTATGGAGTAAGACTGGGGGGCCATTACAGATCATGTGCGTGGAAAGGGCGGGGCCAACTCAATATTGAACCCTTACGGAGTAAGACTGGGGGGCCATTAAAGGTCATGTGCGTGGAAAGGGCGGGGCCAACTCAATATTGAACCCTACGGAGTAAGACTGGGGGGCCATTAAAGGTCATATGCGTGGAAAGGCCGGGGCCAACTCAATATTGAACCCTACGGACTAAGACTGGGGGGCCAGAAAAGGTCATGTGCGTGGAAAGGGCGGGGTCAACTCAATATTGAACCCTACGGAC